AAGACCCAAATGTGAATTGTGAAGGAAAGGAAATCTTAATTTTTTTTTAAAGAAACAAAAATAACACATTATAAACATGTGTTAGAAAAAGGAAGGGGGGGGGTCAGGAGTACTTTGATGTAAAAAAGATCTAAAGACAAAGTAGGGACTCAATCTCTTTCAGAAGATTTAAAGACTGTGACTAACACCAAAAAAGGGATAGACCAGTGAACACTTAGAGCTAACCAACAGATGAGATTCTATCCACAGATGAGGAAGCAGATGCTTGCCTTCCAAAGAACTGATGACATAGATACAGAAGCACTGCTAGGTGAGAAATCTACGAGTCAGAAGAGACAAAGGATGGATAGTAAGGCCTTGCCGAAGATTACCAAGGCACTTTTTTTTGTCAGTCCGAAAATAAAGGGGCCCGCTATTTTCCTAGAGCTTTTTTTCTAGAACGTGGCAGAAGATCTCCAAAGACTTGTTAAAGTTGATGACTACGCCCTACTTCTGGAGAGTCATTGGATACAACACATGGGCATAAATAATAGCACCAAAAAGACTCTAGATGATTAAAGATTATGAAGATTTAGGGAAGAAACTTAAGACTGAAGTAACAAGTGGCTATTTTGTCAATGCTGTTCTTCCTAACCCACCCCCTTCTACATTTCCCTGTTTCTATAGAGGGCATCATCATTCTTCCAAGCTCTATCTTTGATTCCTCACTTTTCCTCACCCCTCTTAAGTCAGGGCAGCTAGGTGGCAAAGTGGATAGAGTGCGAAGCAGAACTGAGCTCATACCTGGCCTCAGACAAAGGGCAAGTCACTTAACCTTGTTTGCCTCAGTGTCTCATCTACAAAATAATTTGGAGAAGGAAATGGCAAACCACTCAAGTATCTTTGCCAAGAAAACTCCAAATGGGGTCACAAAGAGTGGGACACAACTGAAAAGACTCAACAACAACTTAATACAATCGGTTGACAAACTTTGCTTAAACTACATCTACTTCATCTCTCAATTCTGACACCTCCTCTACTCAGAGCTACCACCTTAGCTCAGGTTCTCATTACCTCCCACCTCAGTTTTTCAATAGCCTAATTGGTCTCTGCCAAAGTGATTTTCCTTAAATTTAACTCTAATCATGTTACTCTTGTACTCAATAAAATCTAGTAGTTCCCTATTGCCTCTAAGAATCAAATCTTAACTCCTGTTTGGCTTTTCAAGCACTTCACCATTTGGTCTCAACCTATCCTTCCAGCCTCATTATATTCTTCTCTCACTACACTCTGCGGTCTAGCCAAACTGGCTTTCTCTGTCCATCACACACGACACTGCATCTCATTTCCATGCCTTTGCACTGACTATCTCTTATACCTGACATGCACTCCCACCCCCACCTATGCCTCACAGAATACCCCTCTTCCTGAAATGAAAGTGAAATATCACCACTTACATGAAGCCTTTCCTAATTCCCCCTAATGCTAGGGCCCTCAACTCACTACTTTGACTTTATGACAGAATGTAAGCTTTTTTCAGAAAGGAAGTTTTTATTCTTTGAATTTATAATCCCCAGCATCATAGCACTGTCTGGTGCTTAATAATTGCTCCTTAATTTTAATGTAGTGACGAGGAACTTCAATTATACAGACTAGTGAGCCCTCAGCCAAAGGATGAACAGCTAATATTTTCTCAGATTGCCTTAGTAATAGGCAAGAAGTGGAAGGATCAACAAGGGGAATTATCTGCAGTGTCACACTCAAACAGAAAGGGATTCCTGGCGCTGCATGCTGACTTAGAAAACCCTGAGTTAACACTATCTATGTTGAACTGTATTTTTCTTTTGTTAAACATTTCCTAATTACATTTTAATCAGGGTCTGCCTATACTTGGGAGTTTTGCAGTGTGTGCCCTCAGCCTTGAGTTTGACTTCTCTAGTCAAACTCAATATCTGCTGCCTCTGAGCCTCTTTCCAAGCAATTACCCGGACCTCGAATGCTCTCCCTCATCTCTACCTTTTAGAATCCCTTCAAGGTTCAGTTTTAAGGCCATCTCCAGATTTCCTGATTCTCCCAGTTATTCTGTGCTCTCCTTCACTCTACCTCCAAACAAGTTTTGTAAATACTGGACATTCTACCTGTGGAATGTAAGATCCTTGAAGGCAGAGACTGCTTCCTTTTCGCCTTTGTAGCCTCATAGTAAACTTTAATGATTACTGAATTGCTGAGGTGAACTTTTCTGCTTGGTCCCACAGGGCAACAATAGGAATGACAGGTGAAAGTTGCAGAGGCAGGTTTCTATATATGGAATAACTAATACTTAGTACTAATACTATCTAAATGTAAAATGAGTTGTTGCAAGAGGACATCAGTTTCCCCTCATTTTAAGTGAAGGTTGAATTGTTGGAGAAGAGGAAGAGGGATTTTTACTATTGCAAAGTGATAGGTTGGACCAGATGGCTGTTAAAAGTTTGAAAGCTTTTAACACAGAATCACAAAACCTCCAAATCTGAGATTTTGTGATTCTATATTAAAAGAATTCAAACAATTATCTCTAATGATGTTTATGAATATCATCAAGGACTTCCTACTAAGTAGATTTCTTAACTAAAAATATCACTAAATTATCAAATTTGTCTTTAATCTGAGTTTTCAGAAAAAATCCAAATTATCCCATGCACCAAAGTAAACAAGGCAGTAAAGGACATTGAATAATGCTATTGAAATAAATAGTCAATATAGACAATATTCAATTTAAACAATTTAACTGCCTATGGGTACAAGCATTGTGCAATGCTGAGAATACAGATACATTTTTAAAAAAAAGTTTCTTCCTTTAAAGTGCCTATATTCTACTGGATGCATTTCAAAACCTTATGGCCCAAGATTCCTATTGAATATTCTCCAAGTAGAAGAATATTTTCTGTAATCAAAAAGCATTTACTGACCACCTATCATTTCCCTTTCCCCTTACTGGGCAAAAATGAAGAAGAATCACAGATTTACAGCGGGAATTTTTAGGTTAAAATCCCATAAATAGTTGTCAAAATATTTTTTTTATGAAACAAGTCCAAAGACATCAGAGTTTAAGAGCCTCTGCTTGGAGACCATGGGGCCCAACTCTCTCATTTTAAAGATTAGGAAACTGGGGAACCAGGAGATTAAATGACTTCCCCCAAAGTCTCATAGTGACAGAGACAGGATTTGAACCAAGGTCCTCTTCTTCTAGAGTCAGCACACTTTCCACTGTATTCTCCTCATGAACTGGGAAAGAACTTAGTGTATCCACGAAACAAAAAATTAGGTCCTTTTTAAAAAATAACACTCTTACTTCTGTTTTGGCCAAAGGTTAAAAAAACCAGTTCTCTTAAATATGCAGGTACTACATCCTAGAATTTCAGTTTTATGGAATACTGCAAGAAACCTGATGAAGTACGTTGGGGGAAAACTCAGTTACCACATGCTGTGGCTACTGTTCTTGAAGTAATGTGTATGAAATTCAATTCTTGCTTTATTAATGCTTTAAGGATAAAATTTCACCTCAGCCAACTTGACACAATTTATAGTTTGCTGCCAGCTCTGCCACCCAGCTGTAGGGGGCAGAAGGCTCTACTTCAACTTCACTCATCCCCCACCTTCCTTCAAAAGCTATCTCCCCTCCAAGAGGCACTACCACTTGAAATCTATTTCCTGTTTTAACAGAATTGAATGGGAAAGGTGTTTAATATAAAGTTTACTTCAGTCAATTTTGCTAGAAAACCTTCCAACTGATGGTATTTGTTATACAGAATCATGGATTTAGAGCCAGAAGGGACCTAAAAGATATAGTCAGTCCATTTAGTATATTTATGTGTGTAAAAAGTCACTAAATCTACATTAAACAATTCAGAGAACAAATAACTTGACATGAGGTGAAGAAAAAACAACAAATTCTTTGATTAAAGTAATATCCTTATTCCCTAAAAAAGAGCTTCCTTGTTAAAGATCCTCCATTCCTACTCCTGTTTTAGCTACAGGTTCTGAAAAATCAGTCCTCTTAGAAATACAAATACTTTATGCTAGAATTTGAATCTTATGCAATAAGATCTAAATCTCCTAATACCCCAGGGTTCACTAGTTTCAACCCTAATGAAACAATTACACCACTACTTTACTTTTCCTTAGGTAGCTATACCTTCGGAGCAGATATTCAAAAACTAGGGCTATTCAGGAGCGTAGAAAAAAAGATCAACACTATATATACCGATTTTACAGTATGCGAACACACACACAACTTGGTAAAATTTATGATAAATCAAGCACACAAGGTCGATAAATAAAATAAACCACCAAGGATACTCCTAACTGCCCTGAATCTTTTGTTGTTGTTGTTGTTGTTGTTTGTGCCTCAGACTCTTTTGAGAGTTTGGTGAAGTCTGTAAATCCCTTCCCGGGATGTTTCAAAAAATGTTCATAAATAAAATATATCATCAAGTAAACTCCCAAATACCCAGAATCTTTTTTTTTTTTTTGTGGGTCATGGACCCTTCTGAGAGTTTACTGAAGTCTATGAATTCCTTCCTAGGATGTTTTCAAATATTACAAAGGGGGTCAATTATAATGCATATTATAATTGTAATTATAATTATAATATTGTAAATTGTATATTGTAAATTGTATAAATTGTAAATTATAATTATAATATAATGCAAAATACATATTTAAAAACCAAGTTTAGAGACCGCTGGACCCAAGCCCGGACCTAAACCGCGAGGGCCTTGCCCGCCTGAGAGCGACTACGCGGCTACCCCAGGCCGGGCGAAGGGGAGCGGGAGGAGAGCCGGGCACGCCCGGGGAGCGCGGCCTCGGGCGCAGGGCAGCCCCGGCTGACAGCCGGCCTGGCCCCGCGGAGCAGGTGGCCCGCCGGGGCCAGGCACCGACAGTCTCGGCCCCGGGGTGAGCACTCACGGCCCCGGGGCGGGGGTGAAGGGCCTGAGGCCTAGCGGGAGGCCCGAGGCCCGCGAGTGGGGCCGCGGCCTCACCCTCTCATGGTGAACTTGACCACGGCGAGTCTGGAGCCCGCGCCGCTCAGCTCCGGCTGGAAATCCGGGTCGGCCCCGACCACCTTCACTCCCACCATGGTCGCGGGAGGGGCCTGCAGGGAGCCGAGGCCGCGGAACCACCGGCTTCCAGGAGGACGCCCGGGAAAGCGGAGACGGAGACGCGCTAACGCCGCGGCGGGTTCTCTTCACAGCGCCCTACGTGCCGAGTCACGCCAGGGATGGAGCGGGGCCGTCGGCCGGGGCGGAGGGCTGGGGGTACGGGGTGGGGGAGGCGGAGAGAGGGGGCGGGGGGCGGGGAGAGGCGAGGGAAAGAAAGCGTGGGAGCACCCAGCAGCCACTGCGCGGGACAGAAGACTTCACTCCGCCTCTCCTCGCCCCTCCTCCCCTCTCGTCCCCGCGCTCGGGTAGGCGCGACCTGCCGCCCGTCGCGGGAATACGCGCCGCTCTCGGTGCGTCATTTCCGCGCCGCCCTCGGATTCCGGTCCAGAAAGGGAAGCGCCTTTCTCTACCTGAACTAGTTACGTCCTTGCCCTCAAACTCCCAGCTTACCGGATGTTGAGCTGCGCAGGTGCAGGGTACCGTGTCAGGTGTTCTTTGCGCTTTACTGTTAGTCCTGATTCGGAGGCGGGCGAGTCACATGCGCTTGAGTTGTGCTGAAGGTCGTCGTGGGGCTCCAATGAGAGATCGATGCCCAGGTCTAGTGACTGACTGTTTTTATGCTGTACGTCAGGAAGACGAATTCCCGTGCTTCCCGAAGGACACGTACTAGCAGGCCAACTTGTACAAGAATTACTTAACCTTTCAGTTTTAATTTCCTTATCTGTGAAATGGGGATAACAACAACAAACAAGCAAGGTGACACAGTAGATAGAGCGCTGGGCCTAGAGTTAGGAAGACCTAAGTTCAAATCCACCCTCAAACAATTACTAGCTGTGTGGCCCTGGGCAAGCCACTTAACCATGTTTGCCTCAGTTTCCTCATCTGTAAAATAAGCTGGAGAAGAAAATGGCAAACCACTCCAGCATCTTTGCCCAAAAAAAACCAAAATGGGGGCACAAGGAGGTCAGGGAAGCAATTGAACAATAAACCAGGTTGCTGTGAGGACAAAATACACAGTATATGTAAAGTGCTTTGGTAACCTCAAAGTGCCATGTAAATGCTGTCATTATTCGTTATTATTGTGCTCCCTCCTTACCTTCACCTCTTAGAGTCTCTGTCTTCCTTTAAAAAGTAGCTCAAAGTCTTACACTAAAATAACCTTTACCATAAAATCAGTCACTTTGAATTAGACGTCCTGTAAGTATCTCAAACTCAGAAAGTTCAAAACAGAATTCCTTATCTTTTCCCGAAAGTCCAACATCTTCTGAACTTCCCTAATACTGTCCAGGGAAGCACCATCCTTCCAATGACTGGTTCAAAGCCTTAGTGTCATCATCAACTCTCCATTCTTACCCCATATATCTAATCAATTGCTTTGTCTTCTTTCTCTGCAACATTTCCCATCAGTAATGAAGAGGTATTACCATCTGCTTTGTTGCTACACTTTAAGGATCATGGGATCTTTCCATTTGACTTGCAGCCAAAGTGGAATGTTAGCCTATTGGGGGAGAGGCAGTGAGTCTGCAGACTGGATGTTGAAATGTTGCAGATGGATGGGATGTGAAACATGGTCTGGTTGGGGGCCAGGTAAATACAATAAAATAAATAGGTGAGTTTGTACTAACCAGTAGAGTTAGTACTCACTTAGCCCTAGGGTGGGAGTTTCAGTATGGGATGGGAGGCATAGTTTGGTTGGGGCTCAGGGCAGTTCCAAAACTGAGTGGATTAGTTGTCCCTGGGTAAGGGTAAGAGCAGAGAAGGTAGATGACAGGAATAACCCTGGATCAGGATGGAGGGTTTACAATGCGTGAATAATGGAAAGGCATATTGCAAAGGGAAAAGGAGGAGTTTCCTATTACAGACAATTCCTTCTTTCAGACCTCAACCCTTCCCTCCAGGGGGTATTTGTGCTCCCACCCCCTCAGCAGCTTTGAGCCACATAGCTGGAGCAGCTTCAGTACCTGGGCTTTCCTCTGTCCCCTAAGTCTGAGCCACTTCGGTGTCTGGAACAGAGGACCCCTGTCACAGGGCAGCAATGTTCTGCCCCTGCCAGGAGTTGGATCCAGAGCCCTGGCTGGATCAGGGTATGCCCACCAAGTAGAATCTGCATAATGTGAATTTATGTAAAGCAAGAAGTGTCTGGAGTTTATTATTATCCAGATCCTCCTCACCTCTCCCTCTCCAAACTATGCAAACTTCCAAACTCTCCCCCTTCTGTGCCAACCATAGAATGTATCTGGGGCTGTTAACCAATCTGTACACCCTAGACAGGATAACATCCCTTCTCTCCCCCATTGTACTTGTTATGCCCCTGCTCCTCAGAGGGCCCTGGGATCTGGAGCAGTGGCTTGGGAGTGAGAGCCCCACCCCAACCTTTTGTTTTAGGAAACAGAGTGAGTCACACAGGGTGAACAGTCATGATGATTTGCAGACCCATCCCTCTTTTAAACATATCTGTTTCTGAGAACATCACCATCCCTCCAGTTACCCAGGTTTGCAACTTCAACGTCATCCTCAACTCCTCATGCTTACTCATTCGCCTATGCAATCTGCAGCCCTGTGTTCCCTCTCCTACATCATCTCTTGAATTTTTCCCCTTCTCTCTACTCCCACAGCTTCTACCCTAGTTTCATCCCTCAGCAGCAAATTGCTTAAAAGCAGGGACTGTTATACTTTTCTATTTGTATCCCTAGGGCTTTGCACATAGTAAGTACTTACTAAATGTTCATTCATTCCACACATAACTACCACCCTAGCATCACCTCACCTGTTCAGTTGTAATTAGTCTTCTATTCGGTCTCCCTACCTCAAGCCTTTCCCTTCTCCAATCTATCCTCCACATAGTGCCAAAATGATTTTCCTTAAGTGTAGGTCTAACCATGTCACAACACACACACACACACACACTCAATAAATTCATCTGGATCATGAGATTCCTAATTGGTCACCCTGCTTCAAGTCTTTCACCTCTCCAATCCATATCATTCTTCTACTCAGGTCAAACATAAACTTCCCTGTCATTTAAAGCTCTTCACAATGGGACCCCAACCTACCCGTCCAGCCTTATCATACATCACACCCCTTCCTGAACTCCTTGATCCAGCCAAACTTGCCTTCTTGAGAAATGAAAAGGAATAAATATTTATGTAGGACCTACTTCATGTCAGGTACTATGTTAAGTCCTTTATAAATATTATCTCATTTGATCTTCACAAGGAGGCTATTATTATCCCCATTTTATAATTGAGGGAACTAAGGTTAAGTGAGTTGAACGGGGTCACACAGCTAGTACGTATCTAAGGCTGGATTGGATCTCAGGTCTTCCTGATGTTGGAGCTCAAGTTTTATCCACTATACCACTTAGTTACCTGTTTGTTGCTACTTGCTGTTTCATTCTTGCAGTAGACTGGATGAGAGTCTGAAATAAGTGTAAGTAGAAAGAGAGGGACAGATGAGAGAGATATTATGGAGGTTGAAGTGATAAAACTTCACAACTGATTGGCTATGGAGATAAAGAGGACAAAGCTAGAGTGAAGGGTCAAGAAGGACTATGAGGTTATGAACTTGTGTGATTGGAGATTGGTGGTACCCTCAAGAGAAATAAGGATGTTAGGAAACGGGACTGGTTTTGTGGGAGAAAGGGTAATGAGTTCTGTTTTGGATATTTTAAGCTTGAGATGCTTATGGTAAACACTATTGGAAATGTCCAATAGGCAATTGGTGATACAAAACTGAGAACTCAAGAGAGAAACCGAAGTTAGACATGTAGATCTGGGACCTCTCTGCACAGAGATGATAATTGAGCCCATAGGAGTTGATGAGAACACAGAAAGAGCTAGTAAAGAGAAAAAAGCACAGGAAAGAACCTTGGGAGTATACCCATTGTTCGAGGAAGGGATATTGATGATGATTCAAGAAAAGAGCCTGAAGAGTAGCCAAGTAGGAAGCAGGAGAATGAAGAGAGTATCTAGAAGGAGAGGATGGGGCAGCAAGGTGGCACAGTGGATAGAGCACCAGCCCTGGAGTCAGGAGGACCTGAGTTCAAATCTGGCCTCAGACCAGACATTTGCCACTTACTAGCTGTGTGACTCTGGGCAATTGCCTAGCCGAAAAAAAAAAATAATAATAATAATAGAAGGAGAGGGTGGCCAACAGTGTCAGCTGTTCCAGAGGGGTCAAGATGAGAACTGGGAAAAAGCATTAGACTGGAAAGTAATCTCACTCTAAGCCAAATACGAATTTAGTCCAAAAAAGCTGAAACAACATCAAGAAAGAAATGAGTTTAAAAGATTATCTTAAACATCTTAGGGCTTTCCTAGCTAGCTGCCTAGATGAGGCTTGCTGGGGTCTTCACCTTGAAACATCTCATATCCTCAGTTTTTCAGAGCCAAGACCCTAGCAGTTGCCCCATTCCAAGTGAAGGCCAAAAGATGGCAGCAAAGAGCAGGTACAGCTGTAGGGATTCCTGGTAGAAAACAGTTTTTAAAAAGCAAGAGAAGCTCAGCAGATATAACCATCATAGGATAGTGTGATGACATCATTAGAAATTAGCTCTTAACTGCAGAATCTAATGGTCTTCGCTGAATATTCATCCTTCTTGACATCTCTACAGCCTTTGACAATCAGTCACCCTCTTTTTGATACTCTCTTCTCTCTAGGTTTTCATCACATTGCTCTCTCCTGGTTTTCCTATTGTTTGATTACTCTTTCTCAGTCTCCTTTGCTGGGTCTTCCTTCAAGTTGTTCGGTTGTCCCCCAAGGCTCTGTCCTGGCTCCTCATCTTTTTTTTCTCTATACTATTTAACTTGGTGATCTCAGTGGCTCCTATGGGTCCAATTATCATCCCCACACAAATAAACTATCTTCTGACGTCCAGTCTTGCATCTCCAACTGCTTATTGGACCTCTCAAAATGGATGGTTTCTAGACAACTCAAATTCAGCATATACCAAACTGAATTCATTATCTTCCCCCCCCAGACCCTCCCCTCTTCCTAACTTCCCAGTGACTTTCAAGGGTACCACTTCCTCACAGTCACCCAGGCTTGCAACCTAGGTGTTATCCTCAACTTCTCATGCTCACACCCCCTATACAATCAGCTA